GAAAAAATGGGACAGAACTTATTACACAACCTAATATAAATTCTGAGTTAAGAAACTTTTATGGACACTCTATAGGCATATGTCACATTTATTGTTGCATTATAGGAAGATAAATTTACTGCGTAATTTTTTTGAAAGCAAGCGTTGAACAGCACCCCAATCCCACGTTTTTTTTGTTCCGTTGTGAGATACTTCAGGATGGTTCAAAGTTTGACTATTTTCATTCAACGGCTTTGAACTTATTGTTGACCGAAATTCAGAAAGGCCCCCATAAATTTCGCCATTCCGGAGATTCAGCTTGCACCTAGAAAATGGTGGACCGGCAAAGATTCTAATGCAAGTAGCATCCAATTTTAATCAAAACTAACGACAAAATAAGCAATGAAAGCTATTCCTTCTTGTAATTGCTTGGCGCTATCCTTTCCATTTATCAACGGAATGCAAAAAAATAATGATATCTATGGCTGAGATTTCAGCATTTTCCCAATTCTCTTCATTGGAGTGAACGATAGTCATTCCATAACTGGAGATATGTTAAAGATTTGGCATCCTTGATAATTCTCCTTGTCATTTCCATTATCAAATCACCAAACTTTATACAAACATTCACTTTCTCTCGCTGTATCTGTCATTGCAAATACTCTTTTCTACTATAGAAACGAGGTCAGCGTAGCGGTAATTCGACCTGATTTTTCTTACCTAGTTCACTGCGCATCGACATGTGTGGGATTGCAAACACATTCGTTTTCTTCTCGAAATTCGCTTGACATCACGCTATGATAATGCTTTCAGTCTCAGTCAAGAAGTTGTTCTACCAAATTTTTTTCTCTTTGAAATGGCTTCTTCACAGCAATATTGGGTTGAGTAAAAATTAAGTTTTCTTAACGCAAACCTTCGTTAAATAGTGTACTGTTCGTATAAGATATCCATAATGATTTTATATATGATTTTTGAGGAGAAGTATTTACAAGCTTCTACTGTCACAAATCATGAACTCAAAATTTTCCTATCGTCGTTGAAAGACAGCTATATGCCCCAACATGACCATAATTTCAAAGGCTCAGTTCTTGAGCTTTAGCTTTGTTTTTAGCTTTTTTCCTTTCTTGCCCAGTCATTTTTTCGTTCAGCTTTGATTTGTTGTTGCCACTTCGAAATTCTTCGATTTGAAAATGAAATCTTTTCACATTAGCGCACAATGAAAATGGGGTCAGTCATTTCTCTGCCCCTTTTTCTTTCTCAAAAAATTCTATATAAAAATACATTCAAATTTTTGAAGTGCTCTACCAGGGATACCAAACGCTCGAAATGTGTCTGCACTATATGTAGTAGCGAAAGAATTAGTAGGACAGAAATTTTAATTACTCAACGTAAAAGCGTGCCGTCTGTCATTCAATTGTTTCGATAACTCTAGAACAATCTATTTGATAAATTTTCGTTTTTTAATGTTTACTGCACTTCAGCTGGCATTGCTTCCAATATTTCAGATGTGGTTCTACTATGCTGCATATTTAACCATCACTCTTTCCACTTTTACTGTGATTCTACAGTTAGCTTATATGCCCATCATTGTGAAAAGAGTAGAAAATTCTCGCGATGTTGTTCTGCAGACAATAAAAGGATTCAGGGTAAGAATTGCTATCTTTTTCCTATATTTTTCGGAAAAATGGGCTCTTTTAGGTCTTGGAAAAAGACATAACAAAACTGATGAATACTTCCGAACAAAGCAGAGAGAAAAGGGCAATAAGTTGTGCGCCAGCAAGACGTGGACCACCAGGTACAAGATTTTGACTGCATTTTTTGAGAGAGTTCTGCCATAGACTGTTTTAGGAGTACCTGGAAAAGATGGTCCACAAGGTGCTGATGGTCCGAATGGCAAACGTGGAATAGATGCACGAGACATTTTAGCCGAACAACAGGAAAGGTGCATAATATGTCCAGCAGGGGAAATGGGACCAGAGGGTCCACCGGGAGACCGGGGAATACAAGGAGAGAAAGGGAATAAAGGATCACCGGGCATTCCAGCCGTGGATGGAGTCGATGGTGACCGGTACACTTGATCTTACGAATTTGATTTGGTAAAAACTGTTACTGTAGGAGAAATGGGTCCTGAGGGCGATGTTGGACCAGCTGGCCATCCAGGAAATCCTGGAAGACGCGGCGCAGCCGGCCGACCCGCCGAAGGTGGCATAGGAAACCCTGGTCCGAAAGGAGCAGACGGACCTGTTGGGCGAGCTGGAGCACAGGGACCGCGAGGAAAGGTATGCGGATCTTGTTTTTATGTCTGAGCTCAATTCTTCGCATCAGAGAAATTACATCTATGGACCTCCTGGACCACCGGGACAACCGGGACCAAATGGCTTGGATGGAATAAATGGCAACGTTGGCGATAGAGGGCCAAAAGGTGGGTAGTTTATTCACAGTTTCTACAATCAATGAGTGTTATTTAGGCCCGCCTGGCGAAAAGGGTGCTGATGCGAAGTTCTGCCCATGTCCTATGGAGTTACATATGGTCAGCGAATCGGTGAGTAATGAAAATTAGTTTCAACTAAGTGTAGGGCCTGACATTTGACACGAGCGTCATGGAAAATCAAGAAAATCATAACGTTTTTGAGCTTACTCCTTAACTTACCTAATCTAATTTTAACAATGTTTTGATCAGCTGATCGATTTCGAGCCACTTTAATAAAATGACTTTTTAGGAACTCGATTATGCAATAGTTGCATTGATTAATTGTAGTGATAATTTTGATGATAGTATTTGATAATAATACATTTTTTAGATGAGGAGTTCATGAAAAGTATGCATATGAGAAAATGAGCTGCCGCATATAATTTATACATCTTTTGAGTCTTACTTATTCCAGCGGAAGCTGCCGAAAACAAGTGCACAGTACGGGACTTCGATAGCTTCGAAACCAGGCCTTAGACACAAGACAAAGGTTAGCGCAGAAAGGGATATTCCCGAGATGCCCGATAGAGTGATCGAGTAAGCATATATTTTTTCAATTATGGTTACTTGCTTTCTTCGTTTTGTACTCCGTAAACAAGTATATGATCAGAATGGTTGGAAATACATTATTTACATAGCCTACCGAAAATTCTGATTTTGTATGGTCGAGACCAGCTTGATAGGACTCTAGAGATTTTGCGTGATGGAAGGTTTTGGACGTCACACATAATCGTGACTGAAATGACAATTCATATATTCAATAATTTACAGCGCTTTTAGGCTAGTTGACTGTGATCTTTCCACTGTTATTTCAACGCTCGTCATCTTCTTGGTTGTAATTGAGACATCAAAAGTTATGAGAAATTTTTCCTCCCGAAAATGAGGCCAATGTAAATCAATGGACGCATTCAAACAATGATTTATGAGCATGATAGATATGGTGCCTGACGCATGAGCCATGCTCAACTTGATGAGTGCGCATAACGTTGCAACCATCAATAACGTTAATTTCTTCATCTCACCCATAGCACTGTTTTTCAAACCTATTCGCTGTTAAGGACGGTCCGCCTATAGATTATTGCCAACCATTAAGCGGAGTCGTTATGGGAAACTGGCTCCTGGAAATGACTTATTTGGTACCCGTAATGTTGTGATTTCCTGTAGAGAGTGTCCCAAAGAAATTTCACACTATTCAAGTGCTTTGTACTTAGGCTTTTATAGAATTGAGCAAGTTTACCTAAGCGCTAGAGTTACTTTGCACAATAAATCCTTTTCAGAGCCTAAGTATGTAGGAAAGCCCTAGAATGCTCTATACACGATTCTGAATGGACTCAAATGTTAGATAACTTTGAGAACATTCGAACAGTAATCAAGCGGAGAAAAAGAGAAAAAACGCGGATAGTCATCGTTTTTCGACCAATTACTGGATATTGTATGCTGTCAAAATTCACTATTCTAAGTGCATTGATAAATTCTCTGGAAATTGGCTTAAGCGTACCTCTCTTACAGGTCAAACTAACTTACCTCTAGAACATCTCTTTGGGAAATGTATAATACAACTAATCCGTTCAAACATCTATTTCTGCTGTCTGGTATTCACATAAATAATTCCAGTCCTGCCCCTGTGATGACAGAGACGGAAATCCATAATGAAGAAATGCTAGCGACCGGACCTCATAGTGGTCTTAAGACTGCACCTCCAGCTCGTCAAGATATACAACCCCCAGGAGGAGAAAGGTAAGCTTGCCAACGCCACAGATCTACATAATTGCAAAGTCGCTATTGAATCAAAATATTGCATGTTCTTCCAACTTATTTGCCGA